TAAACAAGGTTTTGTAATTATTTTTTACTTTATATTAGATTAGACAATGTACAAAACGGTTGCCTGTCTAATCTGTAATTTAATTTGTTTGCTACTTCCTGGCGAAGGCAGATCCAGAAAATCTTGACGTCAGTTATCAAAGTGGTCGTGAGTTGGACTAAAGCCTTACTTTTCTTTTCGAAGGGAGGGTGAAAGTGTTTTTAAGGAAATACTGCCAAGGAACTTTGCTTTTTCTCCGTCTTTGTTGGTTCTGAGGCCTTTCTGTTCTTCTCTAGTAAAAGGCCATGTGGAAAGTAATCACATGGGGCCAAGAGGGGTTCACCCCCAAAGCTCCATAGATTTCGGTCCATTTCAGACAGAACTTTTGATTTGACAACCCCTGACCTTTCTCATTGTTTTCATCTGCTCTGTCAATCAATCACACCATTTCTCAGATTTGAGAATCTGACCTTTTGACTCTTGAACATGGCTGCCGAGCTCACTATTGCACCATAGCCTCGCCCTCTTGCTCCCAGACTTTCCTGTCCCTCGGTTCATTATCGGAAAATAATTTATTAGAAATTTTTTAAATATTTTATAAAAATTTTAATATTTAAATAATTTATTAAAATTTTTTATTATTTAAATCATCTCATAAAAATATTTTTTATTATTATAATTGAGTTATTTAAATATTAAAATAAAAAATTTGAGTTGATTATAAAATAATAAATATTTAGTTTTTATTAATTTAAGATCAAATTTGATTATGAAACTAAAAATAGATAAAATTAATAGTGATATTTGTCAAAATAAATAATCACATATTATAAAGAAATTAAATTTTAATTTAAAAAATTTCTATCTCATCACTTTTTATTATAATACTGTAAAATTATAATTCTTCATCAATAACATAAGATATGAAAAACTTATATTTATAAATATATATTTATCAAATCATCATTAAAATATTTTTTATTATAATTATTAACAAAATTTATTTAATTTATAAATAAAAATTTTAATTACATTAAATGATTGTATTAAAAATTGTTATTTAATATTAATAATATTAAATAATTTAAATAAAATTAAATTAATTTAGTCTATTTATTTATTATATTTAAATAAATCTTTAAATTCTTATTTTGGGTGAAATAAGTTTTTTTATTAAATAATAATAAAAAATAAATTTATTTAATTTAAAATAAAAATTTAAAAATTTATTTAAATGAAATTAAGTTAACTTTTTTGACATAATTAAAACACTTATTATTTAAGTATTTAACTTTTAAATATCAATATTTTAAATTAAAATTTTTTAAATTAAATATTAATATTTTAAAAAATAGTTTTAATATTTTAAATTAAATACTAATATTTATTAACTAATATTTTTAGGCTCAGTATATAAGTTCTTTTTTTCCGAAAAATGTTTCCTAAAAATGTTTTTAAAAAAATATTTTACCTCCAAACAAAGGAAAAGGCCCTTAGTACAATACCCTGTTCTTGTCCTATTACACTTAGAAAAAGAGCGCCAAAACAAACAAATAAAAAAAAAAAAACTACGAACGAAACCTTTACTTTTCCATTTCAAAATTTCACAAGAAAATTACTTATTCCAGGCCTTGGAGACGCAAGCAGCAGAAGCGAATAAGATTGGCCGGTAGCCTTAAGAGTATGTTTTGAAGGAGATCATTCTACATTAGAGAAAACGTATTGGTTTCTTTCTGTTTGGTTGGTGAAGGTGATAGAGCTGATCGGCTCTTCTTCTCCGTTGAAGGGGGTTAAGTGAATACTCGAGACTGAAGAAGAGATCAGATGTTTCTGTTTTGTTCTTGAAGAAAGTTGAAAATTCGTTGCTCCGTGAAATAAAAAAGTCTTTTTCATTTCACAAACCCAGAACTTGAGAAAGTTGTTTTAAAGATCAATTTCATCAATGGGAAGCAATTTTTATGAGAACGTGGCTCTGCCCCAAACGGTGGAAGGAGCAATCTCCAGAATCTGTCGTGAGCAGGACCAACCGCCACTTCTCTACGGGACGAGGCAGGCGCTTGCTGATACAGGCGAAGGACCATCTTTAAGGATTCTAGAGAAAATCCAACGGACTCCAATTCGTTCTTCATTTGACGGATTTGTCATGTACATGATCAGGAACGAACTAAACAACATCAACAATAAGGACACTCTAAAACGACAAAGTCCTTCTTCTTCAAGACTAAATCGTAGTCCCTTTTCTTCGCCCTCCAAAACTTGCCATCTTATGATGCAGCAAGGTTAAATCCCTCTCTTTTTCTTTTTCTTTTTAAAAATGGAAATGTTAGTTTTTTTTAATTTTAAATGGTTTTTTTGACGCTTTGTTTTGCGGGTTGCTGGTTTTATGATTAACTGGGGCGAAGATGTTGTTACCACTATTGGTCCTCCTTGGAGTTCCTCATTGAATGTTGGCAAAGAAGAAAGGTTTAGCCCTCAGTTGGTGGCTTTGGGGGAGCTGGAGTTTAGAAAAGCTTTCCTCATTTTAAATTACATTGGCTCGTAAGTGTTTTCTACCGACCTGTCTTCTATTGATTTCGAAAAGTTTAGCTTTTTTTTTTTTTTTTTAAAGATAAGTTCTTTCTTTTCACTGTCTCTTTTTTCTTTTTTACCACAGGGAAACGTTGGAAGAAGTAACTACAGCTAATGGAATTCGAAGATTAAAAGATTTGGCAATGGATAAGTTTGAGGAAGAGGTCTGGGTTACTCTGGGCCAACGGTATATCATTCCAGATGATCGTTGTAAGGTAGCATAACAGTTTTTTTTAATGTTATTTGCCTTTAACTCTTAACTATATTCTGAATTACATCGCATGCTAATTTATGAAAAAACCAGAACTTCGAAAAATGTAAATGTCGGTATCAACTAAGATTTGTCACACAATCAGGTTTTCATGTTCAGCATGTTCTATGAGATTGGAATGCGTGGATGTTTCAAAAGTTTGGAGTGTGAATTAGACCACTCTTTCATATGAGCATTGTCCTCTTCGCACGTGATGCGTTATGCAATTGATTATTTTCTCTTTGTCCTTCTCCCTTACCCTTCCATTCCATTGTCTTGCAGTCAGTTGATTGGGAGTCTGGAAAGGCATATAAGTACCATTGTTATGTATCTGCAAATGGGAGTTGTCAGTTCAAGGTAAATTTGGAGTTGCTCTTCAAGGTCTTATGTTTCCTTGATTTTGTGCATGCATATATGTTAACTTACACTGAAAGGACAAAAGGTTTGAGTTGAATTTCATGACACTTGTAGAAACAAATATCAGTTGGTTTGGAGATCTTTACGTGGGTATTGAAGGCAGTTTAACTACGATTTATCAGTTTTAAGCCTATATCTCTTATGCATACCAAACTCATATTCCATATCATGAGATAGTAATTCTTCTTTTTTTCCTTTAATACTATGTGGCTGATAGCACTCTCTTTATTAACAACCTTGGCTAACAGTTTTAGTTATCTTAGTTTTCTTTTGTTTTTCATGTTCCCTTCAAATGGGAAAATTCACTTAGCCAATCACATTAAGCCTTTCCACCTAAATTGCTATCTTTATTGTATAAATTTTTTGTGTTGTCCTTTTACCTGAGGAAACATTTTATTTTCGTGGTGGGGTGGGGTTACACTCTTTTCACCTACGATAAAATCAAATACTTCAATTTGGTTCTCTCATTGTATAAAAAATTTTAAATTTGAGATTTTGTTATTCTTACACTTGAAGGGAGTTGCTGAAAATATTAATTATATTGTCTTGGTATGCACTTATATTATCTGTGTAAGTCTGATGCTATATTCCTAGTTTAAAATTTGAGTTATCATTTTTTTGCTCTGCTCTTGCTCCCTTACTGAGGAGGAATCAGTTGCTGGGAGATGGACCTACATCAATTTTGAGAGTTCCACAAATAGTAGTAACATAAAGTGCATTGTTTGTAAATTATTTTTTTGCATTAGTTTTCTTTTACAATATTTTCCTTGATTTAATTTATTTCACTGTTTGTATTGCGTTATATTTATTATTGTTTTCATGTGCTTTATTCCAGGGGCCTTATTTGGAAACAAGTAGAAATCATCTACAAAGGGTTTTAGGAGATGAGAATATTCTCATCGTGAAGTTTACAAATGTCACAAATGGTAAAAGTTCAGCTGGCAATGTTTGTTATGCTGAGTACACGAAAATTGCATTAGAAGGACTTCTTGTTGGTTTGCGTCGTTACCGGTTTTTTGGTCAGTCTTCTACACCACACTCTTGTAATGATGAGTTTTGTATTTGGTGTTCTTATTTGTCCTTTCAGATTATTATAGTTGTTATTTCAGCATACATCAAGTATTACCTGTTCAAGCCAGCATGTCAAATGATCTCTTATATTTTCTGCTAGCAGTATTCATCTCTGAATTTGTTTTAGGCATGCATGTCCCTGAGGTGCTCCTCTGCTAGAGTGGACGAAAGGTTGATCTGCCAGCTGAGTTGTATCTCTTGTTCTTATCTTACAGCTGAAGAATATCTGCTTTGTCCAGTTCATTGGTGGGGTGTTTTATTCAACTTGTCTCACAGAATTAGCACAAAACAATGCAGCAAGAGCTGCTTTTAGATCATGAAATTGATTGTTTGCTACAATCTTACTTGATAGTTTCCCCATTTTAATGGTGATGAAATGTATTATTCGTTTATTTGTTTATTTTCCCATGCCACTCCATACTTTTTTATGATAATTAGGATTATCAAAGTTGCAACAACTAGGGATTTCAGTCCCTTTACAAAGGTGGGACTTTTGTTCCATTGCAATCCTGGGTGTTTGAGGTTGTCTATGTGCATGGAAGAAAGGATTGCTCTTATTTTCCAGTTGCAGCTTTGTGTGGATGTCCTGGCTTGCACATACATGTTTATTTCCCTTATCTGCATCATTTCAGTTATTGACGATCCTATGCTTCTCATTTTTCTGGTAAATCTATATCATTGAAAAAATTTTGACTACCCTACTTATTGGGTATGATACTGAACATGCCCCAATATATGTTATCCAAGTCAATATATTCAACTCTTATGATGTCATCTTTTCCTAACTTTTGAGAATGATAATTTAGTTTTTTTGTACCAAATATGGTGAAATTTTCAGTGTTTAAGGATGGGGGCAAAGAAGCAAGAAAGAAAGACCCGACTTCCTCATCTGTTAGGTGCTTATTTGTTCGATTGGAGTCAAATGCATCTATTGATGATGGTAAAGATTATGTTTTGTCTGGGAGAACAATACAAGAAGCCAGATGTGTCTTTATGCATGTCCATACTGTATCAAATATGGCCAAGTATATGGCCAGGTCAGTGATAATACAAAATCTGCATGTTTTTTTTATTCCTTTGAATTTTTTCAATTTTTTCTGAGAGGCATTTTTGCAGTTGCTTATTTGTTATTTGAAAAGCTTCTTTTTCTTTGTGCTGTAGATTGTCGCTGATCTTATCCCAGACCATGAAGCTGGAAGTTGATTTAGCTGATGTAAACGTTGTGGTGATAAATGATATACCTTGCCAGGTAAGATTTATGGCTTAAAGTTTTGAATAAATATAGTCTCCCTTCTTATAGATTTTTCTCATGTTTTTTTTCCTGAGTTTTATTTGATATTTTAGCCAAAAAAAAAAAAATCTTATTGCAGGATAAATATGGAAATTATGTTTATAAAAAAGATGGAGAACCTTGTATTCACACGGATGGAACTGGTTATATATCAGAAGATTTGGCTCTGAAATGCCCAAAGAATGTCTTTAAAGGAAACGTTTTGAATGGTGACAATGATATGGTTGGTGATTAGCAGCTTGATTTGCTACTTGTTATACATTTGTTTGAGATGAAAGTATTGCAGAGTATTTGCCCAATAATTCATCTTTCTGGTATGCATGACAAGAATCAGTTTGATATATATAAATACGAAACAGCTTTTGCTCTAGAACTCTTAATCTGTTTTGTGTGTATTATTTTTTTTGAATCTTGGAATGGTTAAAACTATACAAAGTTTCAGATAATATGGATGCCATTCTTGTTATATCTTGGTAATTTGAAAAGGCATGGCTTCCAACTATTCCTTTTCCATTTAGTTCTTTGTGGTAGTATTTTGTCAATTTTATTCAGGTTTTTGTTTCCATTTATATTCCTTATTTCATGGCTGGGATGTTATTATGTCATCTTGTGATCTTTTTACTGCTACCTGTTTTTCAATTCATTGCATTTTCTAAGATCATAGATTTCCTCATCTCAATGGACTTTAGGGGAAGTTCTCAGACATGAAATCAACAGAATCTCACTATAGAGTACCGGTATGTGCATTTTAACAACCCACTGGTACTTGCTTTTTTAAATTTTATTTATTGATTATTATTCCATTTTTAAATTTTTTTCTAGCCTTTGCTGATCCAGTTCCGCCTCTTTAACAAAGGTTGTGCTGTCAAGGGAACCCTACTTGTCAATAAAAAGGTATAGTTTTGTCATTTTTGATGTTTGAGGAATTATAAAAAGCAATGAACTTTCCCTTGTAATTAGAATAATTAGAACAAGCTTACTCCATCTGAAAGTCCCTCTTGAATTGAGAAATTGATGATTAGTTCTTTGTAGGAGTAGATTCTGAAGTAGACCATACTAGTTCAATTACCAATGAAACAAAATGCTTAAAAATTTTGGAAAAAATGAAAGAGCTGAGCAAAGGCTGCAGATACCATTAGCTTGGTTCAAGGGTTTAGGGTTTAGGAGTTGTACCAGTTAGTACATTGAGAATCTAGTTGTGTTGAATCTAATACCATTTGAAATCAGGATTGATGCCACCTCAAATGCCATATTTCCCTTAAAAAATGTTTTAGTCAATCTACATTGGTATGTGAGCTTTACTCTTGTTTTTCTAGTATGAATTTTTTTTTTGGAAATATTTGAAGGTATAACATATATAGTAGATTGGGTGGACGACCATTATGACAGGTTGGCATCCAAAAGTTGGACGTCCCATTTCATATATATGGTTTTATAAATTAGCCACTTTAATTTATACTGAAAGTTATGTATCTGATCAGTTTGTTGTTGTATAGGATCTTAGCTACTGTGAGTAACATTTTTTAGTTGGCTAATGATTTCTGAATGCTTTTCAAAAGCTGCATGCTTATAATGACTTCTATTCCAAAATTTTGTAGCTTCCACCCAGAACCATTCAAATTCGTCCTTCCATGATTAAAGTTAAGCCAGATCCAAATCTGGCAAACATGTACACAAGGAATTCACTGGAAGTAGTTGCAACAAGGTACCTGCTATTGTATAATTCATGTAATTTCCATTTGATGTACTTGTACGTTACAACGTATTTTTTTTCCCAAATCTCTTGATAAGTGCCAAATGAATGCATTCTGGGTTCAATATAGAAGAGATGAGTTTGGCTGTGGGAGGTGGGGGGAGTGTAAACAACCTGAGAACTTAAATGAATCTCCTGAAAGGAAAATAAAGCGAAAGAAGGAAAAGGATTGAATCTCTTATTTTATAATTCCTTAATACACGTCTGTCAAAATATTTTTTCAATAGATAAAATTAGATGTACTAAAATACTCTGATAACCTTCTGAATGTAGTATTACCATTCGGACAGCTTGTCTTTGCAGCAGTGGTTTTGTCTTTTATTGCCTCAAACCATGCTTTTTGTGTGGCCTTTTAACAGCCACATTCAATGCATTCGCTTTAGGTTGCTTTTGAGGTGAATGCTTCATGGTAGGATGAACTGTAGCTGGCATAGATTGAAGCTTGCAATTGCAATTAAGAACATGCCCTAAATTAGGCAAAATATGAAAGCTAAAGGTCTTTCTCTCTGGTAGATTTGTAGTTGGATCACTCTAGTGCTTGTGTGTCCCTCCTAATTTATGGGCTAAAAGCCCTATTTTAAAGCCAATGACTTCATATCATTTTGAATCCCTAGAACTTAACATCAGATCATAAGATAGTGCATGTTATTCTTGCCCAAATCAGTCTTCCAGCTCCAATATAAAAGTATTTGAATCCTGCGATTAGCCAATGCCTAAGTGAAGACGTTAAACTGTTTTATTTCTGGCTCAATTTTGATGAGATGGATTTACCTTGAGAAATTTAATAGTCTGTGAGTGCCTCTTGTTTTTGTTTCGTTTCATTTTAGGGTGATGTTTTTGTGTTATCTCCTGCAGCAATCAGCCAAAGAGAACTTTTCTTTCAAGGAATTTGATTGCACTCCTTAGCTATGGAGGTGTCCCGGATGACTTTTTTATGGACATATTGAAGAATGCATTAGAAGAGTCACAGAGTCTTTTCTCCAATAAACGCACAGCACTTAAAGGTTGTTTTGTTAACTTCCATATCACCATGACTTAAGCATGTTAAAAAAATAATTATGCCTCCTTCCTTGCTTTACAATTTTTTGTTTTGAAGATTATACTAGCTTAATGTGACTATGTTATATTCTTTTAGAAATGAAATACCATTCTAGTGTAATTGTTTTTAATGTCCTTTTGCTTTTATTGCCTTTGCACGATCTCCTTCAAAATTGATCTACATGTCAACAATGGTCTTGTATCATTCATACTTCTTTGCTTATCTTCCTCTCGCTGACCTCAGCACCTTTTGAATTGATCTTATAACTATCACATGCAGTTTCTCTTAATAATGGTGGCAAGGATGATTTCGGTGCAGCAAAAATGATTTTATCGGGGATTTCCCTTGATGAATCATATTTGCAACATCGGATGTCAATAATGTTAAATGAAGAAAGGAAGGGTCTTCTAGGAGGAAAGCTCCCTATGACTGAGTCTTATTATTTAATGGGTACTGTCGATCCAACTGGAGTCCTAGAAAGTGATCAAGTCAGCATTATCTTGTAAGTAAGTTGGGGTTTTTCTGTTGTTCTTGTCATTATGTTTTTAATGGTAGCACAACAAATGATAACAATTTTAAACCGCAATATTCAGAGGTGCCATTATAGAATATGTTCTTCAGTAGAAAATGTAAGAGGATATGTACAATTACATTAGCTGGTATTCACCGCAAAGTTCAATTAGCAATTTCAAGTCCTAGCTACAAGTTTGAAGGTTGGAATCCCTCGTAGCATCTCAAAATAAAATGTAAGGAATGAGTTTTTCTATTTTGGAATGCAAAATCTCAGAAGCTTTTGATATAACTGATTGTAGAATATGGTTTAATGTGTAATGTGAGCAGTTCTGTTATGCTTATGTGTACATTGAAAGAGAGCGATAATGGGAAGCTTTACATCTTTGCACATGTATTAGGACATCATATTCTGAGGCCAGCTCTGTGTCTCTATGTCTTTCAATTGAAAAGAAATAAACTATCCGTATCCACTGACCTCAAGACTCTGATCTCTAATATGGGCAGTGTGTTTACAGATGATGATGTTAGAAATGATGTGAGCTGCTTTTATTTCTTAAACTCAAATTCTACCTCCTTTTTGTTAGGCATAACATATGATCGTCTGATCTCAAATTTGAACTAATCTTTGACAGAAGAATAGATAAAGGAAAGAGATAGACGGAATGGGAGTGTTGGAGAGTATTGACTCTTCGAGTTTTTTTTTTAGTTAGAAAGGTGTTCACAGCTTGGGACAGATTCTCTGGTATGGTATAATAAAAAATATTGCTGCATAATGTTCTTTACAGTTTAAGGTGCACTAGAGCTGGAACTTCCTTCCTCTGATGGCATGCACTGATGTTGAGATATTCAATTTTTTTGGTTTTTTTGAAAACTATATTGAGATATTCTATCAGTTGTGCTAGATACTTTGCGGTACTGATTCTTTCCTGCCACTGATTGGAATTTAGTTTTGTTTACACATCCTTGTTATAGGAACTTTATTAGACATTGAAACATTATGAGGTCTATGATGCATAAGAGAAAGGCAAATCATTTGGGGCCCCATAGATCTTTGGTCAAATTATGTTATTATTGTTGTATTGGTAGATTCCTTGACATTGTCTCAACTATTTTGGACAGAAATTTAACTCTTTTCTGCAGCCAGATGAATCTATTAAATCAAAATTAACTATTTGCATGGAAGTTGACAAGTATGTCCTGTGTTGATGATTGGATAGTCTGTTGTCTTCTCTGATGATATGTATAGGGACAATGGACAGATTTCTGGGAAAGTGCTAGTGTTCCGCCAACCTGGTGTACATTTTGGAGATGTACATTTGCTAAATGCTAGATATGTGGAATCCTTGAATGAATATGTAGGACATGCCAAGTATGCTATATTCTTTCCTTGTAAAGGTCCACGTTCTTTGGCTGATGAGATGGCTGGGGGTGATTTTGATGGCGATATGTTTTTTGTATCAAAAAATCCCCAGGTTGGTTCTGAATTAGTTTATAGTTGAAGAGTTTATCTACCCTTTTTCTTTTCTGTTTCTTCAGTCGCCCTGATTGCTACCCTCATTATTATTTCTTTTTAATAGATGGTTAAATGGGTAACTATCGTTTTGTGTCTTCATTTCAAGCCTTTTTATTTAATTATTATTATTTTTATATTCTTGCACATATTTCAACTGTGTACATCCTTTATACCTCAGTATATGCTGAAAGGTAATATTTAGTTTGATCTTCAGTTTACCCCTCTCTCTTAAATATGCATTTACTTGAATCCCCTTACATTCCTACATTGTTGGTGGTAACTGCTGTCAACAGCTTTTTTTTTTAAATTGACCTAGATGTCAATGGCATTCCTGGTGATAATGAGTGCAAAGGATACTGGTTATATAGGGAAAACTTTAAGCTGTATTGATACACACACACACACAAAGTGTATGCATCTAAATGTCCTTTGTTTCCATATATATATTTATATATATATATTTTATGAAACATGTTGAAGATTTTCTCTCCTCCTTTGTGCTGAAACACATACTTAATTTTAAGTTGACCTGCCAAAAATAACTTTTCTATAATATAGAGATATTTCTGATAGTTCAAACTCTGTGCTGCAACTGTGTCCATTGGGCGATTTTCATGTAATGTTTGGCTGCTGAATTTTAACATGAAGTTTGGCATTCCCCTTCAAAAAAGAGGAATCTTGTTTTTAATTAGAATACAATTTAATGTTAAACAGATATTGATACAACTTTGAATTCCTACAATAAATTGTAGGCTTTGTCTATATTTGGCATTATTTTGATGTTTTCTGAGACTAGCTGCCAATTGTTGTACTATCTTCAGTTATTGGATTACTTCAAAGTGAGTGAACCCTGGATGGAAAATTCTTCTACTTGTGGAGTGTCCACTAAGGGACCATGTGAGTTTTCAAATGAGGAGTTGGAGGATGAGCTCTTCAAATTATTCTTGAGAACTAGGTTTCAGCCAAGGTAATCACTTGACTGTACTTCTCAGAAACATTTTGGTTTCACGATTAAGCATCCCGACTTGGAATGTTAATGGCTATGAAAGTGTGAATTGATTTTTGCTTGAATTATATTGTGGTACTGCTCATCAGTCATCACATTCTTTCTGATTAATTAATGTTATCATAAATTGAACTCTTATAAGTAGAAATTCCTTTTTATCTGAAATTATGCAGAGGACACTAGGTTTTTCCTTGTCAGCTGAAGTCCTTAAAACTCTCTTGAAAAACAAGCAGTTCTTTTACTTGCTTCACAGCTAGAGGTTCAAATACTTTTGAGGCCATAAAAAATGTTCTTGGATATGTCAAATGCCAAGATTGGAGACCCGTTCAAAGTCATTTAGTAGTATTTTATTAACTTGTTATCATTCTTTGATCAAATTCCATAATTCATGCTTCATGACTTGATGACAAATATGATATGGCAATTGGGTCAGGGATCTCTTGGTTTTGGTTCCTAATGTGTCTGGTATAGGCTGGTGGAGTCTGAGTGTGGTCTTGATATCATTCAAGTTATCAGTTTTGGTTCTGATGTAAAGGTGCTTTTGGCTGCTTTCAGTAATGCTATGGGCATTGCATCGGATAACTGTACGGCAGTAATGGATCGTTTACTGACAGTGGAAGATAGTAACTCTCCAGAGAAATTTCTTTTGAAGGAGAAGCTACTACGTTTGATTGATTTATATTATGAGTCTTTGGATGCACCAAAGACTGGAAAAAAGGTTAGTGAGTCTCTTTGTCAAGGGATTGGGGTAGCTGATGTTTTAGCCCATGTAAATGCCATTCTCTTGAGTTTATGTGAAGCCAATAACAAAATTCTCATCAGTTAGTGGTTGGCATTTAACTATATCAGTAATGCTTTAGTTTGTTGCCTTGATACATGAGAAATATGTGGGAGATGGTTGCTTCTTTGTTGGTGTTTTGTAAATTATATGTACATGAATAATTGATGCGTAGCTATTTTGTTGACTTTTTGCATGTTTCATGACCTCCTAACAGTAATTTACTTGCAAGTAATTGCTGCTGCCTTGAAAACTGCTGTAACTTGTTTTCCCCTTACTTCCAAATAGATTGTAGTTCCACCAGAATTGAGGGCAGATGTATTTCCTCATTATTTGGAACGGCCAAATTCTTTCAAATCTACTTCTATATTGGGAAAAATTTATGATTTTGTCAAATCATATGGAGAAGAACTGCCAAGGAAAGGTAAAGTTTATCTTCATCAAAATGGAAGTTTTTATGTGTCATTTTCATTAAAGCATTATTGTCAAAGCAATATATTTGGTTGGTTGAATAGGTAAAATAATTATTACGTGAAAATAAAATAAAATAGTTATTATGTAATTTGATATTATGATTAAAATGGGATATAAATAATTATTATAATTTATTATAGTGTTTAAATGGTAATAATAATTTTGAAATAAGAAAAGAATGGAAAATAAAAAGATAAAAATACTTTTTATTATATATAGGGTTATTTATTTTTATGTGATTTTTTAAATATCAATAATTTATAATTAATAAAAATATTAATAATTTAAATGGTAATATCTTATTTATAATTTTTAGTTATAATTGAGAAAAGGGGATTTGAATTTTATTTTTTAAGTAGGGGGATTATGCACTCATCAATGAATTAAATGTTTAGATGTATTATTTTATTTTTTATTTTATTTTTAAATAGTAATAATTGATTATTTATTTAAACTATTAATAATAAATAATTTAAATATTAATATTTTATTAGAAGTTGGAATAAAGGAGAGGAGGAGAGAGAAAAAATAATATTTTATATAAATAAAATTGTAAATTTATAAGCTTGTAGGGGGTATTTTGATATTATTTTTTGAGTTTATTCCTCACTTATGGAATAGCTAATATAGGGTGGTGTTAACTATTCCTTAGTTTTAGAGGATTTTAGAAAATAACCATTTCACAATGAGTATTTCTTGAGCCATTTCACAATCAAATAACAACAGAAGTTCCTTAGCCATTCCCTCACCCAAACGTGTTATTAGTTTTTTGTGTTATACTATTATGGAGATGATGTGTTTTAGTCTTTATCCTATTCAGAAGTCCGAAAGCTCCCTTGTTTCGATGTTGGTTTTCCCCAAGATTGCAGAAAAAAATGGACTGAACTCTATAAGCAGTATAGGGAAGACATGACGCAAACTCTGCAAACTCTGGATGGCAAGAGCAAAGAACTGAGGGATGAGGCTGCCGATGCAGTTTATAACAAATACAAGCAGGTGATCGTTAAGCTTTGCTTCTGTACACTGCCACGTCCCTGTTAGCATACAAGTCATTCTTCTCAGTAACCCTTATCCCGATTCTTTATTTACTCAAAATTCTTGTTGTTCAGGAGTTGTATGGAGGTGATGAGTTGGAGCAGAGACAAAGGCCTCTGGACCAAATCTATAAGGAGGCGCTGGCCATTTACAACATTTCCTATGATTATGCCATCAGAATCGATGACGTGAGGAAATGCGGATTTGCTTGGAAAGTGGCAGGCTCAGCCCTCTTAAGTTTGTATGCCTGGGAGCAAGGGGAAAAGACATTGTCATGTGCACCTTCTGTTTTGAGAGAGCTCTTTCCGTGAACTAATGCTGTGTGTAATAGTCTAATAGCATCGGTATCAAATCTTTCCAAGTTAAAAAGAAACCTAAATATGATGTATTATAGGATCATATGTAGTTCATCATCTCGCTCAAAGTTTATGGTTTATGGTTTTTCTATCACCTTTTGTTCCTTCTTAATTTGTAGGGGGTAAAAGCCCTCGAAAGTGTTGACCTTGGTGGGAAAAGGATGTCTACTCTCCTTATCCAAGCTAAACATTAATTAGAGATAAAGCAGCCAAACAAGTGGGGAAACAACCCCATCTCCTCCTTTTTTGCCTTTTTTGGTTGCAAGAGAAATTGGTTTAGTTAGTGCGAGGGAGCCAAGTTGTTTATTTTACACCTACGTGTCATGACCAGTCCCAACGGCTGTCGGTGGTGATCAACAGCCTCTATTTGTTTAATCAGAGGACAACCCTCGTCAATTTAAGCTAGCTCTATGTCTCATCAAATAAAAAGTGAAAAATGAAAAAAGAAAGCCAGAAAAAAATGAAGAATGAAACATGGTTTTTCAGAAGAGGATGGAAAATGTGGGAGAAAAAAAAAAAAACTGAATGGGACCCGAAAAGGGCGTTGTATTATTGAATACATCCAGTAGTATAGTCGAATCATTGCAGATCGAAAGAGTGAATGTGCTAAAAATCAGGGTCCGAGGGTCCAGCCTCCCATTGTGGATAACTGACCAATCTGTGGCAATCTCTCCAACCATCAATTAGCAGCCACCACGTTGGTCCAGATTCCCCGCCTAGCCGCCTCTCCTCTTCCATGTTTGTCCTCCACTAATTAATCTTTGAACTATAAAAAAATGGGGGGGTCCTTGCTTCCACCCACTCTCCAACACATGCTGTAAAATAAAAAACCTTACAAAAGAAAACACGAACATCATTATTACTGAGTATCTTGAAGTTAAGATTTCAGACGTGCCCAACTCCCAAATAAGACAAGAACCCCCCTGCTGTCTTCTTAGCTGACAATATACTCCTAGTTGTCCTTTGAACACTATATATATATATATACACACACACGCGTATAGGTACACTACCCGGTTCCTTTTTTGTCTGAATCTCATAAAGATAAACTGCTTTAAAGAATTGAATTATCCGTTTTTCCACATGGGGTCTTCAGCATCTTTTCCTAGCGCATGACAATGACATTGATTTTTTTAAAGTCCTCAATTTGACTTTTGATTGATCCTATATTGAAAACAGCTAACCTAAAGTTTTTATAAGTGCCAGTGATTGATCATATATTTGTAGTATATCCAGTTGAATCTCTCAGACTAGAGAAGAAAAAGTGCACTATCAGGTGAAGTAATACAGGAAAGGATGGAGAGCACAATGAAGGAGATAAGAGGCGGGGCATCAGTGCTTGACATGGATCCCAAATCCACCGTTGGCGGTGGCGTTGAGGATGTCTACGGTGAGGATTGTGCCACTGAGGACCAACTCGTCACCCCCTGGACTTACTCTGTCTCCAGGTCACCTTTCTTCTGCCTTGTAGTTTTCTTTCTGTTTTAGTGTGGTTTCATGTGTGATCGGTGATCAAACATCATTCCGTTTGGTTTAATTCACTACCAATTTATGATGGTAATCAAAATGATCATTAAAACCGTTTAGAAGGCTCGGAAGAAAGTTGGTAAAATAATTTTTGTTTTCAGTCTGAACTTTAAGTGATGGTATTATATGATTCCATGGTGTAGTGGATATTCATTGTTGAGGGATCCACACCATAACAAAGGGCTTGCATTCACTGAGGCAGAGAGGGATTCTCACTACTTGCGTGGTTTACTGCCTCCTGCTGTTGTCACTCAACAACTTCAGGTTATACTAATTGCAAGACCCCTTCTTATCCAAACATGTTTGCGTTTGAAAAGTATTCATTGAGGTTTTATTTTTATTCTATAAACCAGGAGAACAAATTGATGAACAGTATCCGGAAATATCAAGTTCCGTTGCAAAAATACATGGCCATGATGGAGCTTCAGGTTTCTCCTTTACCTCTGATTTTATTCACTTTAGGCATTGAAATTGTGTATTTCTCTCTCTTTTATTTATTTTTTTTGGGTAATTTGCTAAAAACAGATTGAACTTGGCATTAGAAATGTTCCTGATCAGTTCAGAGAAATGTTTCCACTTTTAACAGGAAAGAAATGAAAGACTGTTTTACAAGCTTCTAATTGACAATGTTGAGGAGCTTCTCCCAGTTGTCTATACTCCAACTGTAGGTGAAGCTTGCCAGAAGTATGGAAGCATCTTCAGGCGTCCTCAGGGACTCTACATAAGTTTGAAAGAGAAGTATGAATGTCTCTTTTTGTTGTGTAAATTTGCACCTCCAAGTGGATTAGATTCGACTTAATCTGCTAATTTGCAGGGGAAAAGTTCTTGATGTTTTGAAGAACTGGCCTGAAAGGAGTATTCAAGTTATTGTTGTTACTGATGGCGAGCGTATTTTGGGACTCGGGGATCTTGGCTGTCAGGTAAATTATGTTAAGATCATTTCTGTCAATTAGTAACATTTTTATTAGTACTTAGTTTAATTTGCAGTTTTGGGATTCTATACTGTAAAGTTGAACTAGTTTGCATGATTCTGTTGGAAATTCAGGGGATGGGAATTCCAGTTGGGAAATTGTCTTTATACACAGCACTTGGAGGGGTTCGTCCTTCAGCGGTAAGCATTTCCAGTCTGGCATTTTATCCTTAATATCTTCAATTGCTGAGCTTGAGATCTATATTTGTAGTTCTCAGGCTGAAGTTTAACATAGTTAAAGGAGTAGAACTAAAACTTGAAAGTAAATATCAAGTCCAATGATGCCATCATAGCTAGCCTCTGACTCTCATAATAATTGATTCTGTTTTGTAGTGTTTGCCTGTGACCATTGATGTGGGCACAAATAATGAGGAATTATTGAAGAATGAGTTCTACATAGGGCTTAGACAGAGGAGGGCAACTGGGCAGGTGTGACAACTATTCCATACCTCTGGTGGATTTTAGTTGTAAATATTTTTAACTGCATAGCTTATATGAATCTTTTGAGAGACAAAAGAAAAAAAAAAAAAGTGGAATGTTTGAGAGTGGGTTGGTGAAGCATAGCTTATATGATACTGAGGTTATTTTCACTACATTTCAGGAATACGCTGACTTGCTACATGAATTTATGACTGCTGTCAAGCAGAACTATGGGGAAAAAGTTCTTATACAGGTATTCATGCTTTGGAGACTTCCCTTTTTTCATAAAACTTTAGGGATGTGATGTTCTTCTTGCAGTTGCTAACCATGTCTAATTCTTTTGACATTATGCAGTTTGAAGATTTTGCAAACCATAATGCTTTTACATTGCTTGCAAAATATGGCACAACCCATCTTGTCTTCAATGATGATATACAGGTTGGCAGTAGTAGCAGCGTTATAAGGATGATTGTTTAGGTTTTCTTAACCTACAATTGACTTTCGGTGCAGGGGACAGCATCTGTTGTTCTTTCTGGGGTTGTTGCAGCATTGAAGTTGATTGGTGGTTCTCTAGCTGACCACACATTCTTGTTCCTTGGTGCTGGGGAAGTAAGATTCTCATTTCTGCCTCATCATTGTTTTTAGCTTTTGCTGAAGGGGAAGGGAGCAAAAATGCTGAAATAATTGTAGAAAGAAAAACTTGCTCTCTCTGTGACATGATTTAACTTTAAAAACGATCAATTTCCAATGCCTCTCTAATCTTCAGCAGTCTGTATTAATTGAGTCACTTAGACTTGCTTTTATCATACCGTTGCAGGCTGGGACTGGTATAGCAGAGCTTATAGCTCTTGAGATGTCAAAGCAGGTAATAGCATGCTACTTATATATATTGCAGATCTTTGTAGTTTTTCTTAATTCAGTTGTGGTGTTTGGAGTGATTATTAACGTGCTGGCTTTGGTTTTCCTATCACATCTGTAGACAAAAGCTCCCGTGGAAGAGACCCGTAAGAAGGTCTGGCTTGTAGACTCAAAGGTATAGATAAGCTTGATCATGATTGTTGCCAAAGGAAAATATATCCTATGAAATCCCTTTTCACCCAAGGAGGATGTAAATTATCTTTCAGGGACTGATTGTTAGCTCTCGTAAAGAGTCGCTTCAACACTTCAAGAAACCTTGGGCTCATGAACATGAACCTGTTAAGGATCTATTAGGTGCTGTCAAGGTAAGAAAAATGTTGCTTACGTTACCATTTTCAGAGTAATTTTCGGTGCTTACTTATCTCTTCTTCAGGCAATCAAGCCAACAGTTTTGATTGGGTCATCCGGAGTGGGAAGAACTTTTACAAAGGAAATAATTGAGACCCTGTCCTCCTTCAATGAGGTACTCTACTTATTCATTCTGTCAATAGGCAAAGAAAAGTGATATCTGTATACTTTCTGTTAAAACTGTGTCAGCCAGAAAAAAGTTTTACTTTGTTGTAAATCTATGACGCATGCAGAAACCTCTTGTTATGGCTCTCTCCAATCCAACCTCACAATCTGAGTGCACAGCTGAAGAAGCTTATACATGGAGTCAGGTAAAATTCTTAATCACTTGGTAGTTCTTTCTTGTTACACCTCAAAACTTAGGTGAAAATGCTACTGGGAAGTTTGAGTGCCCTATTTGCTTCAAAATCTCATCCTTAATGTTTGTTGTCTGCCTTTATTTACATCTTACAGGGCCGTGCAATTTTTGCTAGTGGAAGTCCATTTGATCCTTTTGAATACAATGGCAAAGTTTTTGTCCCTGGCCAGGTCTGACCATTTTATGATAATTTAGTACATTTTAGCAAATTCTCCCATATGGGATATCCATTGAATATCAGGGACTGAGCTCTGTGCTTTCTTTTTTCCAAATTCAGGCGAACAATGCTTATATTTTCCCAGGATTTGGTTTGGGTTTGGTCATCTCTGGAGCAATTCGCGTGCATGATGACATGCTTCTGGCAGCCTGTAAGTTGGCAGTTATATAAAAACATCATTACCAATAATCTGTCTCGCCTTTTCTTTTGCTTACTAGACTGAAAGTTATCTGTACTCGTGGCATATTTTTTGATGCGTTATCCTAACAAGAAATCTTAGCAGCAGACAAATACTGGAGTTCACTGTGATTTAGAATCTCCACATGAATTTAAGTGTTGATAAGGGACCGGGGGGTTTAACCGCATATTGTCCTTGTCTGTCTCGTGTGTAACAGCCGAAGCCTTGGCTAAGCAAGTTTCTGAGGAAAACTATGACAAGGGGCTTATTTACCCACCATTCTCTAATATAAGGAAAATTTCAGCTAATATAGCAGCTAGCGTGGCTGCCAAGGCATATGAACTTGGTGAGCGACATTTCTAGTACATTTACAGACTGAAATTGTCAAAACTGTTTTATCTCTTAAACATTGACATTACTTCAAATTATGCCTTATAGGTGTGGCAACACGCCTCCCTCGTCCTGCCAATCTTGTCAAGTATGCTGAGAGTTGCATGTATTCTCCTATCTACCGAAGTTACCGGTGAATAGTCAGAGATTCTCCTCTCCATTTCGTATAGCTTCAAGCTGTGCCCGCATGTTGCCTAATAAATAAGGTCGGGTAGGAAATATGACTAAAAAGGTTGGGAAATCGAAACTTGTATTGTTAGTGTTTGACAAGTTTTTCTGCAGCGGACAATGAGGCGTTTGTATGTTCTTATTTTGTAAAAGCCCAATAATATATAGTTGTGTAATTTACCTTCCGTATTATCGTATCTTTTTTTTCTCTTTTATCATTTACAATTTCTTAACAATGATCTTCAGTGGATCCATGGATTCGAATCGATCTGATTTCTCCGCAATGATTTCCGTTGGATTTACGAATTCAAATTGATTTTAAGATCATCTTATGGTTTAGTAAGAAGTTTATGGTCTAATTTTTTTAAAAATCATAAAATTTAGGATGGTTCATAATTTTCAACATTTATCTACAAGTTATTGATTGTAAATTAATGATTATTTGAAAATTATAAAAAATTAAATTAAATATTTATAAATTATGAGATTTAAATCCGTAAAAAGAATATTTTTTTGAAAAATGTTAGTTATTAAATTTAAAAAGTTAATTACTTAAATTGTTTATATTATATTTAATATAAATAATAAATGAATAAATAAAAAAATCTATTTATAACGTAAATGTAATTTTTTGAAATAACTGAACTCTGCAGGACATAAACATCATTTACCCTATTTGAAGTGCTTTAAATGGTGTTTAATTATCCAAAATGACTCTTAATTACTTGAAACTATCAAATTTAAGACTCTCTCTTTTATGAAGATTGCCCAAGCTGACAGGGAACTTTGCCTTGTGATTGTAATCCGTTTGTCAGAGGGAAACCCAGCTGAAGAGAAAATTGCCAAAATAGGTTCCATTTGGAATCTTGGAACACGTAATAACTTTATTAGGAATGATAATTTCTGTTACTATAATACATCTACAAGTGAATAAAATGGACTTTCTAACGTTTGATATGCCCCTGTATTACAAACATTAAAAGGTTACCTTTCCTAAACATATTCTGTGAGGACTTCAAGTTTGATGTTTATTATATACACTTAACTCAGCATGAGTGTCCCTGTAACGTTGGCTCAGGTATGTCCCGCATCTAATTGGAGGAAACCTGGTTAGAACACATGCAGCAGTTCAATTCGAGTTGGTATGTCAGATGAAACAAATATACAATTTCGATAATTTGAAGGTAATCCCCATGAATGTCATAGCAACTAAGGTCTCGATGGGGAAGGGTTTTGGGATGGGCTTCGATCCTTATTATCTACAATTATAAGACTTTGATACCAAGACTTACTTGGGAGGATTCTCTTCTGATTTGCAAGTTGGCAAACATTCTACAAGACAGTCATGACTAGGTTCCACAAAGTATGCAACCTGCCATCAGAAACAAGAGACATAAACCTTAATTTTCTTCCGAAGATTATGTTCAAAATATAGTAAGACAACATGTGCCAAGAAAATTCCAAAGCTAGAATATTTACAAAGAAACTTACCCAAGAGAATATTAAAGAAAAAAGTTGAGAAACTAAGCCAAAAATTTGGGCTAAAAGGCAAAGAGTAAGAGACACCAAGATGACGATGTCAGTCAAAACCTTTCTTTTCATGTCAATCAAAGTGCTTTTTAAACTTTCAAAGAACAAAAACGTCCTTCCATTCATCATATTAGTATACTCAGCTAAACAATTGTTCTCAACAACTATAACTGAGTCAACGGCAAACATCAATCATAGAATTGCGAAGTTTATTCTAATTGAGTCTCCATAGATCAGATGGAGTCAACCCAGCAGAGTAACAAGAGTTACTAGAAAATTAAATTCAAAGTCCTAGATGCCCCAGTTTACCCTGCTTGCTATTTGTTACAATAGACAGTTGGACATGTGGACCAAGAACAACTACATCAAGAAATAAATATATAACCAGCATTAATGAAAGGTTGTGAAAGACCTAAAAGCCTTAATAACAAAGAAAGGTTGAAAAAGTTAAGGGGCCTTACAGAATATCTCTCTTGACCATTCCCTAAAACTCTGTGCAAAGTGGACCTGTGTACCGAAAAAAAAAAATACTTGGGTTACACAAAGGAGAAGCAAGAAAATCGTGAAAAGGCAGCTTCCATAACACAACCTCAGGTAAATATAACATTACAAACAAATAAGCAGATATAGAGACGGTCACATATAAAAATGTAAGATATTTTTTTTAAGTTTTTGATGAATAAGTGTAAGAATATTGCAAAACAATAAAAAGTGTGAGATGAAGAAGCTCAAGGTCTAGTTGTGGCTTCCATTTAGTGACCTTGGTATATATATATATATATCAAAACAAAGGAACCAAGAAACAAAGGATTTTGCTCTGCTCCAATAGAAGATGATCGCCTTAGACAACAGTTCTATGCCTTAAATTTATCAGGATAATAAAAGGCCGAACTAAAAAGTGAAAGGCAAAGTGGAGTTATCAAATTTAGCCTAAAGTTCTCCTTTATATGTTGAACAATCCAGGGAGCCGGCCAATATGAAAATCCCCCAAAAATCCACATTTATATTTTACTGCAATACTATTTGGACCATTGTTACCAAAGAAAGTTGCACATTACTTGAATATACAGTTGCTCCAGCGCTCCAGCATGTCCCCAAGATTGACTATGAAAGCTCTGAAAATAGATCACCCACGTATTAAGCTTGCTATGTGTTGTGATTAATAATGACAAGACTTTAGTGCATGGAAAAAAAGAACAGAGTAAATAATGAACAAAACAACACAAAAATAGACAATTTAAGAAGGTAGCAGGAAAAAAAAATGGTAGCCAACCTAGGTGCAGTAAGCAACTGGAAATCAATCACTTAAAAACTAATATTGGACCCAAATACAGCCTCCAACATCGAGGCAGTAAGACCAACTTGCATGTGCACTACATACGAGCATGTCTACAAGCGTAAACTTAGATGCTCAAATCTGTTAAAGCTATCTGCAACTAACCCTTTTATAGGTGCCACATACTCCCATTTTTGAGGTTTTGCATCTTTATCCTTGCATATCTGCAACAAATCATATAATCTTTTGGTAACTAGTCAAAGGTGCAGAATAATGGTAACATAATTATGTGTTACAGCATCATTCATACTTGCAGACCCATCACATCATCTGTTGCCAAGAGCGTAATCAATCCATAGTCAGAATGTGCTCCAGCTCCATATATTCCTTTTGAGGGATCAGAAATTTGACCTGAACAGAATATGAATTATAATTAGTTATATCAACTGTGCAACGACACCAAGATTAAATAATGACATGCCATGCTCTTCCACCTTCATAGTGTAGTAAGCGCAAGGTGGCAATAGGCTTCCCAAGCATCTCAGGCTTATCAAAGAAATCAACCTCTAGGTCAAGTGCAAGTGCTATGACCCTCGCAATTGCTTTTGCCACCTCCCTAATTGTAAATTAAGAAGGAAAACAAAATCATATTAGCATATTTTCTCTCCACACATTATCATAAAACACACATAGATACCCAATCACATACTAGCTTATAACTTACAATGCCTCATGATGGAATTTCTCCATAGTTTGCCTCCATCCAGGCAAAACACCTAACCATGGCCAAAAGTTTAAAAAAGGTTGGTGAAAATTTCCTTCATACACGTCTTGCAAGATAACCAATCAATGAAATCCAAAACAAGTTACCATCCGCAGGCCAAACATTTGGCCCATAAAACGGCTTCTCTGAGTCAGGATCATCTTCAGGTGCCTCCACACCTATGTAATATCCCTCTTTGTAGTCTCCTACTACCCCACAAGAAAAAAGAGCTTGGACTTCAGTTTCAAGTAAACTATTCCACTAATGATCAATACGAAAGCAAATAATGCAGTCTAAAAATTTACAACAACTAAAAAAGAAAGAGGTGCTGACCATGCACTTGATTATCAGGGTCAAGAAGCTCATCAAGGACTGGAGTATAGCCTCTATGCTTTTCATTCCTCAAAAGTTTCATTTTTTCATTTAATGGCCAGCGAAAAAAGTTCTTGCTTTGAGCAAATACTTCCTCCATGAATTCCTGGCTTATTCCATGGTTTACCACATAGAAAAACCCACAATCCAAACATGCCTAAACCCACCAAAAAAAAAAATCCAAACTTTAATTATGGGGTTGTCTTAATTGTTACCAAAACATCAAAATATCAACTTCAAATCATCAAAAGAATAATAATAATAAAAAAAAAGAAACATTAAATTTTATATAACACGTAAAAAAAACACAGAAGAGATAAGAACAAAAAAGAAAGGGGCAAAACCTGCTTGAGTAAAGAGACGGATTGGTGAATATCAGGATTAGAGAGATCGATACAATTGAGGGTAGACACTTTGATATGAGCTTCGGCGCCATTTTGGTTCGGAGTCTCCATTTTTTGCCTTCTTTCCTGTTCCGTTTGGGGTGGCTTTCTTTTCTGTTTTGGTTAAGGCCTCAAGTTTCAAAATTCGAGATGAGAATTTATAGTGGATGACTACAGAGACCAACGGCAAGTTTTCGGTAATCTTGGTGGGACCCTCACTTGTTTCCACCATTTCCCCCTATCCTCATTATTAGAATTCCAGCTGTACTAGTTTGTTTATTTCATTTTATGTAATTTGTGAAGTGTAAAATGTTTGCCCATCAATATTATTTTGTCGTCTTATTTTACTTGTTTCTTATTAACTTTTTCATCAAATAAATTTAATTTTGATTCGTTATTTTTAATAAAATTATAAAATTTTTTAAAAATTCTAAATTTCAATCTTTTTGAGATATTTTTTTGTAAAAATTTACTTCTATATAATATTTTTAAAAGTTAATTATAAAAATTGAATCCATTGAATAAAAAAATCAATAAAAGACAAACAAAATGAAAATTGAAAAAAGTATATTAAGAATTCTTATATCATGCTCTATGATATGAAGTAAAATTGACAAGATTTAATATCAGACCGACAGTGCAATTTACACGGGAAAATAAATTTTTCCAAGATGTAACTAGTAACAAAAGATTAATTTTATTAATAATAAAAGTTCAAAGAAAATGAAATTTCAAATGGCGGATTTATTTATAGCCACTTTAGCACATTCAATGGATGACAAAGACTGATGAATAAATAAAAGAGAGAAAAGGGCAAATAATTAAAAGACAGACATTGTACTTTTAATTAAGCTTGTTGAATGTCGATCAATGCATTGTGCCTCCACTGGAGCTGGTTTCTGTTCCGTGGTTTCTGCCTTTCTTCCTCAAATATTTAAATTTAGGGTAAAATGAGAAAAGCATGCACTCACTTGGAAACCTAAAACTCAATGTCGTTTGACAACTGACCGGTAAATTACGTTTTGAATTGAACACTCGCCGATCTTGACCACGCTTTTCTGCTTTGCACACGTCTCACGAATTAAGTTATATTAATAAAATTTAAATAGCTACTATTTATTATAACGTTTTCAACATAAAATACATATAGTACTTGGATTCAAAAATGTTGTGCCACAAAACATTAGAGTCATGATTAGTCATAATTTTTGCAGTATTTTGTCCTTATATATTTAATATGTTTATCAATTTGAATTAAAAAGGTGAGACCAGAAGCAAAAAAATCTCTTAGAATATAAGTTCAATTACTGAGGAACTATTAGATGAATCCTTTTTATCACGTTAGCCATAAAAATTATCACGTTCATGTATAGATTTACTCTTTAATAATAATTATCATATTATATTGTGAAAAATTTTAATTTATCAAACTTATAATTAACGTGATAGGAAGAGTAGTTTGTCAAGTAATGGAAGGTTACAATTTACAATAAATTTTGTAGCACCTTATTCCTTATATTTATTTGAAGTCATATTAATTTGACTTAAAAACTTGGATTAGAAAAGTTTTTCCTTAAATTTAAGGCCATGCCAGGCTAAATAAGTAGTATAGGTACAGTATTAATTTGACTTAAAAACTTTTTATTGTTCAGAGAAAAACAAATCCCTATACCCTAAACAACTAGCTTGATTGCTTGATAAAAATAAAAGTGAATGGTTCGCGGAATAAATAAAAATAGAATATAATAGTAATTTTGTGGGAATAGAATAGAATAGTTATTCTTTAGTTTGGTTTAATAAAAAAATAGAGTAGAAATAGTTATTATGACTTATTATAGTGTTTGATTGATAAAAATAACTTTGTAATAAAAAATGAATAGAAGATAAAAAGATAAAAATAATCTTTATTATTTATATTATTATTTATTTTTATTTTATTTTTTAAATACTAATATTTTATTTATAATATAAATGTTATTAGGATTATTCATTTGTATTTTATTTTTAAATATTAATATCTTATAGTTTATTTAAAATATTAATATTTTGATAATTTTAAAATTAATATTTTATTTACAATCTAATCATTGAAATTTTACAATATTAATATTTTATTTATAAATTAACTGTAATTATGATCAAAATATTAATATTTTTAATTAATTTTTAAACTCAAAATATTTTTTTAATATATAATTGAAAACTTAAACTCTTTACTATAATAAGATTTATTTTCATCAAAAACAAAAGTACTCTTTATATAGTTTAGTAAAATTTATATCAAAAGATAAAATTAAGTAAATTTTTTCTTTTTTAATAATTAAATTTTTATTTTTATTAAAATTTTAATTTTAATAATTTAATAATTTATTATTAAGTATTAGTATAATTTTTTATTTTTTATTTTGTATTTTTAATTTATATTTTCACTTGAAAATTTAAAAATTAATATTTTAAAATATTAATATTTTATTTACAATCTAAATATTATTACAGTTAAATTATTAATATTTTTAATTTTTAATATAAAATAATAATTTGATAAGTTTAGGTTTGTAATTGTTCAAAAAATGTAAAGACATTTTAATCCAAAATGTTTTGAATTCTATTCCCATAGGCTGAAATAGCTAATACCATGGGGAGATGTGGTATTAGCTATCCCAAAGGTTTGGTTGATTTTGAGAAATAGCCATTCCAAAAGAATTGCTATTCCCTCTTCCATAAACATAACCAAACATGGGGGAAAAATTTTTGAGGGAATAGAGGGGAAATGGCTAACCAAACATGCTAGAATGGGATATCTATAATGTGGTATCCATCTAATCTAATAGAGTTATGATGCAACATAATTAAAGAAAACTATTTAATCTTAATCTACTTCTAATGCAATAGAATTTTTAATTACCTAATTAAACCTAACAGCTTCATTATACAGAATTTCAACCCTAATGGGTGTGATCATCATATAATTTATGTACTGTTTGATGATTGATTAAGTTGAATTCACCTGTTGCAATGGTAGAGTCAAAATTTAAAATTTGAAGGGATGAAAATAAAAAATTTAATATTTGAGAGAATGAAAATATAAAATTTTAACTATTAAATTATTAAAAAATAAAAATAAAATTTTAAAATGAAATAAAAAATATAAATTTTTTAAATTTTGAAGGGAGGGGCAAGGCGGGCACCTACTAGCCCCACCTCCCTCTGCCTATGACATGTCCTATTAGCTATAACTAGCCACCAATATCCACATTTTTTTTGTTTGTTTGGTTTTTTAATCAATATGTTGTTTTTCGTCACTCGTTTTTTATTATACATCGCATGTATGATATAATTTAATGCGTTATTGTTCATATAATCAATTGTTATAATGCTCTTCTTCTTCTTTAACATTTTTGCATAAAAATTTATGTGGCCATATTGAGGTTGAAAAGCCACCAATATCCACATTTTTTTTATTTTTTTCGTTTTTTAAGCAATATGTTATTTATCGTCACTCGTTCTTTATGATACATCGTATGTATGATATAATTTAACGCATTATTATTCATATAACCAATTGTCATAATGCTCTTCTTCTTCTTTAACATTTTTGCATAAAAAGTCATGTGACGATATTGAAGTTGAAAAGCCACCAATATCCACATTTTTTTTATTTTTTAAGTAATATGTTATTTATCATCACTCGTTCTTTATGAAACATTGCATGTATGATATAATTTAACGCGTTATTATTTACATAATCAATTGTCATAATGCTCTTCTTCTTCTTTAACATTTTTGCATAAAAAGTCATGTGACGATATTGAGGTTGAAAAGCCACCAATATCCATATTTTTTTATTTTTTTAGTTTTTTAAGTAATATGTTATTTATCGTCACTCGTTCTTTATGATACATCGCATGTATGATATAATTTAACACGTTATTGTTCATATAATCAATTGTCATAACGCTCTTCTTCTTCTTTAACATTTTTACATAAAAAGTCATGCGACGATATTGAGGTTGAAAAGCCACCAATATCCACATTTTTTATTTTTTTAGTTTTTTAAGTAATATATTATTTATCGCCACTCGTTCTTTATGATACATTGCATATAATGATATAATTTAACACGTTATTGTTCATATAATCAATTGTCATAACGCTCTTCTTCTTCTTTAACATTTTTACATAAAAAATCATGTGACTATATTGAGGTTGAAAACCCCAACCCATTAAAATGCCATGGAGGTTGCAACCCAAAACAACAAAACTCACACTTTAAATTATGACTTTTCTGAAATTACATAACAAGAATATGATATATATATATATATATTGAAATGATTCTCTTCTTTCAAAATTGAATTTATCAAAAAAAGAAAAAACATTTGAAGCTAACTATATGTTTTCAACCTTTTTACTTATTGGGTTGTTATTATTGTTGTATTTAAAGCTACGTACTTAAAATTTGGTAAGTTTTTTCATCAAAAAAAGAGAATGTTTGGTACTTATTAATTAATTAAAGCACCTTCTAGGAAAGGATTAAATTCTCAAATTCTTAAAGTCGATAAAAAAATCATTAATTTTAGGTGCATGTATCGTTTAATCAAAATTATATTTTGCATACATTCTTTTCAAAATATTTCTATAAATATTTATTTTATCCATATATATATATGATCTATCAGCTATTATATAAATAAAATTGCGGATGTTGAAAAAAAAATTTATTGATGAAAACAGTTATATATGTTTATTATATTCTTAAATTACCATGTTAATCTTTCTATTATTAATATTAATAAGATTTATCTAATTTTTAGATATTTAAAATTATAATTAAATTTGATGACTTTCATTAAAAATATTAATAATATTAATCCAATTTGTGGAAATAAGAATTTTGATTGGATTGAATGATTTAATTAAAAATATTTTTTAATTCTAATAGTATTGTGTAATTTATAGAATAATATTATAAATTTTAAATTATATATAATTGAAACATTAATTGTCTTTTATATATGTTTATCTTTCAATTGTTATTAAAACTATATAATAATTTAAATAAATAATATATTTTAGTTTTTATTATACTATCATTAATAATTTAAAATCTTCTGACGATAAAA